TATACATTGAGAATTTCATCTCTGATTAGTTAGGTTTTAGTTTTGGTACTGAACAAATTCATGCTAACCTTTGATCCATAGCTTTTGAAATTTATGTGGTTAAATTCTTATTCAAATTTTAGGCAGGTTTGATGTTTACATTTTTTTGATTTGGCTGAGAAGTGAAGCTTTTAGAAGCTCGACAATGGAGCTATCATGGCCTGCACGCGCAAGAAAGAAGAAGCTGGGCATTTCAAACATTCAGAAACGAGTTTATTTTATATTTAATTGAAGTTATCTTATGAACGGATGAAACAGACCACCCAGTGGTACAAACAGCGTGCACTAAAGCCTTTCCATGTAGAAGGTCCTGGATTCGAGCCCCAACGAGACCTTTTGTCATATTTCCAAATTTTCTCACTTTTTTTTGTTTGTAGGAAGCGCATGTGCCTCCACTGGCTGGGCCTTGATATTTCCATTTTCTGAAACCCCCTGATGTTAATGTTATATCTTTATCTCATTTTCTTTAATTTATTATTTTTATTATTAGAATTATTTTTATTAATCAAAAACACCAAAAATATATTTAAATTATTAGTTTATTTTTATTTAACTTCTTACAATGAAAAAGACCAAAAACATTTTCCTATTTATTTTATTTTCTTTAACTTAATCTTAATTTTTCTTCAGTTTAATTAAATTTCTTTTTAGTTAAATAGGTCAAAATCTTTCTTTAACAAAACCAAAACAAATTCATTTTCTTTTCATTCATGTCTTGTACATTATATTCCTTTCAATTATTGTATATTATTCAATTTTCAATATGGTTGTAATAGATAATTAGGTTTAATTTCTTGCAATTTTCAATTGTAAATTTGTACACCTCATTCCCAAAATGATGTAATAGCGTAGGACATTTATTTTCCGCAATTTATCGCTTTTCATATAAATACTAGTAATTAGGGTTTGTATGGAAAGATAAAATCAATGCTTAAAAAACCTTAATTCAAGATAAACCAAGTATGAAAAAATAAACACTTGAACACTTACACCTCTAGGGTTAACTCCACTTGTTGCCTTGAGAAAATGGTCATAATATGCATGTGAGACATCTTAGCAAAAACAATAAAAAATACAAGATCATAGTCCCTCGATGACGCTTCGAATGTTTCCTTACAAATGATCTTAGTCCCTCAAGAGAAATGATAAGATATCTCACAACATTGTTATTCATGACCATACGATGATCCATGTGACACCCCAAATAATCCGATTATTAAATAATTAGAATTTTTAATTATTAATTTAATTGGAAATTTAATTATTGGTATTTTTGGATTATTGGAATTAATTTAATTAATTAAAGGAAAGAAGTATTGGTGGTGTGAAGAGTGATTAGAGGGTGTGAGGGGTAAAATACTCTACTCTTACTAATTACTAATTTAATTATTTTATTGGAATAATAAAAGAAGTATTAAAAGGAAAAAGAAGAGAAAGAGAGTTATTTTGGAATATTCATCATACGTGCATTTGAAAAGAGGAAAAAGAAGGAGAAAACCGGAAGCGTCAGAATTCGAAGAACCCACAAGGTAAGGGGTGATTTCGATTAGTTAATTCGTATTATCGGTTTAGATATTCAATAGTATGGATCATAGTATGTTAGGGAATCCCGGTTTATAATTCTAGGGTTCCGTAGAATTGTCCCTATTGCGTCGAATTGTAGGTTGAAAACCATTAGGGTGTCAGATGATAAAAAGGAATGATGAAATAATGTTGTTTGATGTTATAATGGTGCAAAATGGATGTGTTTTGGTGTTTCTCATATTGCAATTTGTATGGGTATGTTTGTAATTGGTTTAGAATGAATAAATGTTGTCAAAAATGCAGAATTTGACTTTGCAGGTCGTGGGAATCGGTTCCCAGTGGGGAGGAATCGGGTTCCACTGTGTGAATTTATAAAAACTGGCAAAAATGCACGTAGGAACCGGTTCCTGTATAGGTAGGAACCGGGTTCCCATACATTTTTCCAGAAGCGTGATTTTTGAACTTCGTAGGAACCGGTTCCTGCATATGTAGGAATCGGGTTCTGCTGTAACTTTTTGAAAAATATTAAACTTTGAAAATTCATAACTTTCAAACCGTAAGTCCGTTTTGAGTGTCGTTTTGGACGTTATTTCTTAAATTTAATGCTCTATTTTATAAAATGAAAAGATTTCCTAAAACCTGAAATTATTTTGAAAATGAGTCAAATCCCGGAATAAGTGATTATTGGCTAACGCACATGGGTGTGTATGTAGCAATGAACCTGTAATGGATGGATGTATTAGTATTGTGTGAATGAAAGGCATGTTTATGTTGCTAATGATGGTATGCATGATCGTTGAGATATCATGTTTTTGGTTTTGGTTCAGTTATGATAAATTGATGTATTTCATAGACTGATTTGATGTTGCATGCTAGTGATGTGCGTGCATATGCATTATTTTGGTGAAGTTAATTCCCATTGTGTGGAATTTGACTTGTATTGCCGTTAACCGATACCCGGGTGATGATGGGTGGTTATGCTGGATTCGTGTCTGGGTGTTTATGGACGAATCGATGGTTGCTGTATCCGGTTGATGATGGATCAGTGTTGGGTGACTTGGTCACGTGTTGGTACCACATGCATTGTGTCTGCATTTGTGTTTGCATGGAATTGTAACATGTTAGGATGTCTTCCAGTGTTACAATTCTTTGGTTGATTATTGATTTGTGCATAATGACTTGTATGATTGGAACTGCGTGTTGAATCTGAATTTATGCTAAAATGGGTGAAATAATATGCTTGTGATATAATGTTGATTGAGAAGCTTATAATGCATGTTAATTATGAGAAATCTCACCCTTACTTTAACAATTTCAGATTAAAGTTAGCAGCTCAGGAGTTGGTGAGGATGGCTCTAGAGCTATGTTACTTTAAGTCCGCGTGTCAGTGTCGTGCTCTAATAGGTTGTAACACTAGGGAACGTTTAGTTGAGGAATTAGTTATTATTCAATTGTTTCTTTGAATTTTATTGGGAATAATTATGTTTTGGTTTATTCCGTTTTGGTTATGGTATTTTTCCGCTGTGTAAGACATGGTCTTAATTTGATTGAATTATTTGAATAATGACCCTCACACTACAAGAAAATTGGCAGACTGCGACAGGTATTTTTGTAGATTACAACGGTTAAAACCATCGCAATTTGCTTTCCACGACGGTTGCTTTACCGTCGCAGAAGTGTGTGTCCCCAACCTATTTCGCGACGGTTACAAAAACTGTCGTTCAAGTTTACGACGGGTTTAGAGCTGACATAATCAAGTATTGGTGACTGTTTGATACCGCTGTGACTATCTTTTGAGTTTCTTTTAATTATTGATGGCGACGGTTCGATACTGTCGTGAATATCTTTTGAAATTGATTAAATTGTTTATGGCGACGGTTCGATACCGTCATGACTTTTGTTGATTATTTTTAATTGTTGATTACGACGGTTCGGTACTGTCGCCATGACTTTTGTTTATGTCTTGATTTTTTTTTAATTTTTCTATTATATATATTTTTTATTTAAATTATTATCTATGTAAAAAATTTTAAATATAGTTTTTTTTTGTGTTATTTTTTTCTTTAATATATTTATTTATAGTATTATTTTTTGTTTTATTTTCTATCACTTTGTAATATAGTAAAAATAATTTCAATAAAAAATATTTAACATCAAATAAGCATTATAATATCCAAAAAAATGTGTGTTCCATAATCATGTAAAATGCGAGTTCCATAATCATGTCAAGTAGTACAAAAAACCCAAAATATATAAATTCCTAATCTTATAATAATAAGTATCATTATGCCAAAAATACATGAGAAAGTTCACAATCTAATTATCTCGATCATAGCAAAGTCTAATTTGTCCCCCCTGAAGTTCCATTATCTCCAATACGGTAGCTAGACTCAGATGAACGTCTACCATCAGCGGGTGATTCCAATCCCTAAAAAAAGGTATTAAAATAATAATCTTTAAAATAATACTCATAAAATTTAACTTTAAATGCGTCAAAATAATATACCTGTCTTCCACTAAAATTCTGCATTTGCATTAAGAGTTCAATTTCCTTTGTCCTCGCCTTGTCCCTTTGCGTTAAGAATATGATTGCCTGTGTTAATTCATCAAATTTTGAATTCTTTTCTTTAAGTGCATTAATTTCTTCTTGCATTTCCTTTATTTGTTCACTTTCTGCAGAAGAAGATGTCGATCTGGAAACGATCGACATAGATGTTGTTTGACAACTTCCGCTAAAACAAACAATATACCTTATGAATAAAACAAAAATATTTTAGGATACAAGACATGAATGACTTCGAACATAGAAAAGTTAGCTTTTTTGCAAACAAAATTACTTCAAACAACATCTACAAACAAAATGACTTCAAACATAGAGCAAACCAGTTATAGATCTACGTATTATGTGTAAAAGTAAATACAAAGGAATTGGTTTGTAACATAACATGTTTGTAACAGGTTTGTAACATCGAAAACATGTTGATGAAGCTCAGAACAAATGTATACGATGACTGATGAACTGGCAGTACCTGTGAATGTAACCAAATATAATGGTAGAACTCTGACGGTGAACTGAAAGTATAGGGCTTTCATCATGTTCTTGACAACTGATTATTTGATTGTCGCCTATTATTAAAAATTGGAAGTGTAATGAGTTCACATATGACATTGGGTTTATTGGTACTCAGAAATGGCATAGAAATTACTATGTTGATAGTAAAATAAAAAAATCAAGCAAATATACAACTCTTATCTATAGCAAGGAACTAAAGTAGGGTAAGCTGTTGACATACATAATTAGAAAATGATTGCAAAAACCTTCATGAACAGGTGATATATGAATTGGGCTTGAGGAATATAGATATTTATTGGCAACACAAACATATACAGTCAAGTTTATCACTATCATCATATATAGAAGCAAAATCATGGCTTCCTCAATTCACATAACCAGATTTTAACAGCTTTACCTTTACCAACAAAGCATCCATCTTCCTTTTATCAATCCTGAGTGGACTTTTCATCTCCATCAACATCTTCTGACCCAATGCTTTAATTGATGATTCCCCTTTTTCACTTCTATGCTTTCCAACCCCACAAACCACAATAATTTCAGCAATAATCTCAAAGTTGGAAGCATTCAACAGTAATCTTCACAAACACTCCACGATTGAATGAAACCGCATGGGTAAATGCAATAATTATAAGAGGAAGTTTTTACTATTAGCCTGTTAAATGAATATAATACATGGTATATCTTGTGTATACCATAGGAGTACTCAAAGTATATTGGTCTTGATGAACTTACTTGGCACAGATCGACTAAGATGATTAAAATTACCAGTCTCCAAATTTTGAGATAAATGCAGCCTGGCCCGCATAACATATCACAAGAAGCGGATATATCAAGCAAATAAATGTAATCTATAAACAACAGACCCAAGCATGATGCACAAGTTGTTTGTTATTATGTTGAATTAGAATGGAGCACGATGCTCTATTTATACAACAGGAGTTGAACATTCAAGAGTTGAATCATTCAAGCTCTACATTTAAGGTTGGCCTTAATTATTCTATAGTACTGAACTTTTCTTATTCTATTAAATTAAGGTTGGCCTTAATTATTCTATAATGCTTGAGTTTTCATATCCTAAGATATAACTCTAATATACATAAACAGCACCGCTATCATAATAAATTTAATTAACTTACTAAGGTAACTTTAACCAATCAACTGCTGAACAAAGAACTTTCCCAATACATAGTATAGTTCTGTCATCCAGTAGTTAAAATAATGATAAAAGCAATTGTGTTTTGTTTTATGGCAGTTTGTAACTAAGAACTGCTATAACTTCTAAAGTAAAGTTGCTGATGTTATAATAAGCCTTAGGGAATCAAGGGTGTTATATCCCTCCCTTTCTTTATTGTCAACAAAATATTCCCTCTGTAAGAAGACACTACAGCGATTATTCAGTGTCACCTTCCATTTTTTCCTTTTAAAGGGAGATGGAAAAATAAGGAACTAAAATACAGGTAGATCTAATTAAACTACATATAGCTAAAATATATATTGCTATAGATTATAAAAAGAAAACTTTCTTTTTAAAGGGAGATGGTGGCAATAAGGAACTAATATAATTAGAATGTGGTATTGCTAGGTATTACAGCTTTTTTTTTTCCTTTTAGAAGTCTCTATTCTTTCCCTTGCCTTTTTCTCTAAAATCCCTATATCTAAAACAACAGTGTGACAGGTTTGCTTCCACGTGAAGATAGAACACTTATTTTCCATATTAAGAAAACTGAGTAATATACTTCAGGTATGAACGAATAATGCACAGGCACTAATCTGTTTATATAGACTAGTTTAACCTAATGGGCCAAATATAAATTACTAATAATAATTATTTTAAAAAATACATTATTTACAACGAATATCATACAACAATTAAATAATTTTTCCGGGTATCAAGAACTAACCTCCACATGGAGGGAGAGCTTGTCGATTTGTTCACTGTATTGTGGAAGTGCTTGAACCATCTTCTGTAAGTCCCTTGTTGACATTTCACCACTACCCCTATAAATGGAACACAAAATTGGGTCGGGTTTAAGGTATTAACCAGATGAATGAATGAACATAACCATCAAATACCTATCTAGACTTGAGTATCAAAAAAGGCCAAACTATTTCAATAATAAAAAATGCATGCCTCCGATTTGTATTAAAGTCGGGGAAGAACTTGACCGTTTAACACAACAACAGAAAGATATATAAAACCAAACTTGTACATCCATGAAACAACTTTAACTTTTAGGAAAATGGGGCTTGACATGGGATTAGAACCTCTGTGACCAAGTGATTAAGAGTTTAATCCAAATTAGGCAACAATGTTATTTTCAATAATGATTGAATCATTAATACAGTGAGTACAGAATCAAAATCTTGTCAGATTGCAATGTCATTGATGAAAAACTTCCAGAAAATTATTACTCACCTTGAACCATGTTGGATCTGTGCAGCTTTATTCTTTGAAATGAAGTTGGTCATTTTCTCATGCAACCGTACACTAGCCTGGAAAGGCCATCAAAATCACTAGGCATTCAGGTTGCATAACTAACAAAAAGTAGACATGATTCACATAGTAGATCCTAAAGCCTAAACAATAAATACTAAACAAAAAATATCTGAACATACATCGGCAATATGTGCATAACGAAGTTCAAGCCATATAGGATCATGATCTTCCAACAGAACCTCTTTTCTCTCAGGTTGACCACCATTCTTGCCAGGAATCTAGAGAAAAAGTAGATTTGTGTTAATATAGTGGGCACAATTTTAGATGGAAAAAAGAGAAATTGTGGAATACCTCGTGAACATATTTATTTCCCTCCATATTCAACAAATCATGGCACATTGCATCATAAGTCCACCCGTGTATCAAAGGAGCAATCTATAACATCCATAATAGAACCCCCATTGTAAGCAATATGATACAGATTATTGAAATAATCTACAAGCCCATGAGCAAGAAAATAGAGATAAAAACCTGATCGATAGTTCTATCAATGATAAGCAGCTCGCATGTCTCAGTCTGAGGAAAATTAGGTATACTTTTTTTATATTTCATAAGAGAGTCCCAGACACCAGCAGCAAGCTTTGTAGGAATAAGATCATGAAGAGTAGTCATTGTGTTCGCATCTAGTGACCGGGCAGCATGAAATCGAACAAAAGGAAATTCCTAGAGAAAATTACATGATTTAGAACATTGACATACTATGGGAAACTATTAAAATTTTCAAATTCCTACGGCAAAGAGTCAAAGAGCATTGACTACATACTCTTAATGAAGCAAAAACAGAAGCAACTCGAGTAGCCATCACATTCAAACATGCAACAACTTTTTTATTGTTCTCCTCGTCCCCATATAGCTCCTCTAAAGCTCTCTCATTGTTTGTAACGAAACCCTGCATTAACAGGACAAAATGACAACACAAAATAACGAGATAATCACAAGAATGAGAAAATACACTAAAAAACTTCCTACTGAGCACATTTGAAGGTTAATAAATTTTCTTAAATGAAATAATCTCAACAAGCCGACTTCATGAATTTTGAGCTTAAAAAGTATAGCTACACTATACCTTTTTAGAGAGACGCTATTAGAACAAAATACAAGAATGATTAAAATATCCAATTTGCACAAATCATTGGACGTTCGATCCATTTCCATGATTGTTCCATTTTTACTGCGTGAAAATTACTCCATTATAAATCCTCGACAAGTCTCTAATTTTGCAGATTCAGTCAAAGGCATAATTGTTTGTAATATTTATTCAAAGTATACTGGAATTTGAATCTGAAGAACAAACTTTGTATCTGTTCTTTTACCATCTCTTCTTCTCTTTCCCTGAATCGAAGTCAAAGGTTGAGGAAGTGCACTTTTACCATCTCTTCTTCTCTTTCCCAGTGCTGATTTCAAATCTACACCACAAAATTCATAAAATTTACATGCATTTCAAAAAAATATAAACAATTTCTGATACTAAAATACACGAAAATACCGTCTTCTTCGAGGTCACTGCCGGAATCGTTGGGGTCATCAGAGACAGAAGGAGGAGCTCGAAGAGAATCGGTGAGGGAGTTAGGGTCATTGACGACGCCGAAGGAATTGTAGTTTTGTGTGACGCTGCCTTTTTCATCCCATTTAGGGTCTTCTACAAGGGATTGTAACAGTTTGGGAGGAATGGTGAAAGCGGGTTTCAAAACTTTAGGGTTCTTCTTTGGAAGACCCACACGAACCTTAGGTCGAGAATTCTTGTATTTTCTTCGTGAGTAGAAAAAGTGAACGCAGGAGTAGAAAGTGAATTGATGTTTTATGTATTTTAAGAGCTTTTTAACTTTTTTACGGCGACGGGTGTTTTACCGTCGTGCCCATGAGAATTTTTAAAGGTTTTGGGTGCGACGGTTGTTTTACCGTCGTGAAATGAATTTTAGGACGAATAATTTTACCGTCGTGAAAGGTTTAAGGGTGCGACGGGTGCTTTACCATCGTGATATGCCTTTTAGGACGGTTAATTTTACCGTCGTGACTAGTTGTTGGTGAAAAATCAATGTTAAAAGTGTTAAATGGGGGCCGACGGTTGTTTTACCGTCGTAATAATAATATTATGATGGTTAATTATACCATCGCAAAATAAATATTAGGGACGGTTGGTGTCAACTGTCGTAAACATTGTCTCTATATGTCAATTACGACAGTTATCACATAACTGTCGCAATTTTTGTGTCGTTAAACACTAATTTTCTTGTAGTGTCTGTGTAGCATGACTACTGTTTTATTGGAAGTTTTATTTATTTCATAATTGTGACATCCCTTGTTCCGTGTTAACTCTGATAGAATATGTTTTTAATCATTGATATAATTAATATTATTCGGGGTATTTTAGAAGGGGTGTTACAATAGTGGTATCAGAGCATAGTCGGTCTTGTCTTGTGTCGTTATCCCTTTTGTATACGACTAGTGTAAGATGACACTGTCGATACTTGTGTGCTGATGAGGTTGTTTTGTAATGTTACAAGAACAATGGCCGGAAGAGGTAACGGAAGAAACGACGATGCTATTGCTGAAGCATTGGGAATGTTAGTTTGAGTACTCGGAGGGAACCAGCAGAGAGCTGTGATTGGTGCTGATTGATAATTGGGGAATTTTCAGAGGAATAATCCTCCGCTGTTCAAGGGTGCACATGATCCCGAAGGTGCTCAGAAGTGGTTGAAGGAGATCGAGAGGATCTTCAGAGTAATTGACTGTGTTGAAGGGCTGAAGGTGAGATACGGAACTCACATGTTAGCAGAGGAAGCTGATGACTGGTGGGTTGCTACCAGAACTGAAATGGAAGAAGATGGTATTGCATTGATTTAGGCTGTGTTCAGGAGGGATTTTCTGAGGAGGTACTTTCCTGAGGACATCAGAGGCAAGAAGGAGATTGAGTTTCTGGAACTCAAGCAGGGTAACAAGACTGTCAGTGAGTATGCTTCGAAGTTTACTGAGTTAGCGAAGTATTATGCTCATTATACTAACGATGCAGATGGAGAATTTTCCAAATGTATCAAGTTTGAGAATGGTCTTCGTGATGAGATTAAGCAGGGTATTCAGTATCAACGTATCCGAAGATTTCCTGATCTGGTTGACTGTAGTAGGATTTTAGAGGAGGATCTTGCTAGCACTAAGTCGAATGCTCGAGGGTATGTTGATAGGAAGGGTAAGCAACAGATGGATCGTGGTAAGCCTTATGATAGAAGTAATCAGAGACCCGGTGGTTGGAAGAAGTTTGGTGGAGGAGATTCTAGTTCTTCCATTAAGTGCTACAAGTGTGGTGAGACAGGACATCGTATGGTGGATTGCAAAAGTAATGATAAGAAGTGTTTCAAGTGTGGGAAACTCGGCCATGTGGCCAATGATTGCAGAGTAAGAGTGGTGACTTGTTACAACTGTGGTGAAGAAGGTCATACTCGTCCTCAGTGTACAAAACCCAAGAAGGAGCAAGCTGGTGGTAAAGTGTTTGCATTGTCTGGGTCAGAGACTAAGCCAGATGATCGGCTGATTAAAGGTACATGTTTTATTAATGACATACCTTTGATTGCGATTATTGATACTGGAGCTGCGCATTATTTTATTGCTTTGGATTATGCTAAAAAATTGAATTTGGAAATTTCTAATATGGATGGAAGCATGGTTATTGATACTCCTGCGTCGGGTTCAGTGACTACTTCGTATGTTTGTAGGAATTGTCCTATTGTGATTTTTGGTAGGGGTTTCGGTATGGATTTAGTGTCCCTACCATTAGAACAACTTGATATAATCCTTGGAATGAACAGGTTGGAATTCAACCAGGTTCATATCAACTGTTTTGCAAAGACGGTTATTTTTCCTGAAGAGGTTGGTGTCGAAGATGTGACTATGTCGGTTAAACAGTTGAACCTAGTTGTGAAAGATGGTGTTGTGGTATTTATGTTGTATTCTGCAATAAAAGCGGAGGGAAAAGCAAAGAGTGATGGATTGCCAGTGGTGAATGAATTTACAGAGGTGTTTTCGGAAGACGTTAGTGAATTGCCACCTGAGAGGGAGGTAAAATTTACTATAGATTTGATTCCTGGAACTAGTCCGGTGTCGATGGTGCCTTACCGTATGTCGACATCTGAATTAGCGGAGTTAAAGAAACAGTTGGAGGAGTTACTTGAGAAGAAGTTTATTTGTCCGAGTGTTTCGCCGTGGGGTGCTCCGATGTTGTTGGTTAAGAAGAAAGAAGGTTCAATGAGATTATGTGTTGATTACAGACAGCTGAATAAAGTTACAATCAAGAATCGGTATCCTTTGCCGAGGATCGATGATTTGATGGATCAACTAGTTGGAGCTTGTGTATTTAGTAAGATTGATCTGAGATATGGATATCATCAGATTCGTGTGAAGTCGGAAGATATTCAGAAAACTGCATTTAGAACGAGGTATGGACATTACGAGTATTCTGTTATGCCGTTTGGAGTTACTAATGCACCTGGTGTTTTCATGGAGTATATGAACAGGATATTTCATCCGTATCTTGATAAGTTTGTGGTGGTGTTCATTGATGATATTCTAATTTATTCGAAGAGCGATGAAGAGCATGCAGAACATCTCAGAGTTGTGTTGGAATTGTTGAAAGAGAAGAAGCTTTATGCGAAGTTGTCCAAGTGTGAACTCTGGTTAAGTGAAGTAAGTTTTCTTGGCCATGTAATTTCCAAGAATGGAATTGTTGTGGATCCTACGAAGGTAGAAGCAGTATCTCAGTGGGAAGCGCCGAAGAATGCTTCTGAGATCCGTAGTTTTCTGGGTCTTGCAGGTTATTACAGGAAGTTTATAGAAGGATTTTCCAAATTAGCGTTACCATTGACTAAGTTGATCAGGAAGGGTCGGATGTTTGTTTGGGATGTTGAATGTGAGAAAGGATTTCAAGAGCTGAAGAGGAGGTTGACAAGTGCTCCGATCTTGATTTTGCCAAATCCGACTAAGTCTTTTGTTGTGTATTGTGACGCATCATTAATGGGATTAGGTGGTGTGTTGATGCAAGATAAGCAGGTAGTGGCTTATGCTTCGAGACAATTGAAAGTACATGAAAGGAATTATCCGACTCATGATTTGGAGTTGGCAGCTGTTGTGTTTGTTTTGAAGTTGTGGAGACATTATTTATATGGTTCTCGGTTTGAGGTGTTCAGTGATCACAAAAGTCTGAGGTATCTCTTTGACCAGAAAGAGTTGAATATGAGGCAGAGGAGATGGTTAGAATTTCTAAAGGATTATGATTTCGGTTTGAATTACCATCTTGGTAAGGCAAACATTGTTGCGGATGCCTTGAGTAGGAAGTCCTTGCATGTGTCGATGTTAATGGTCCGTGAGTTAGATTTGGTTGAGCAGTTCAGAGATTTAAGTTTGGTATGTGAAACTACTCCGAATAGTGTGAAATTGGGTATGTTGAAACTGACTAGTGGTATTCTGGAAGAAATTCGGAATGGACAGAAGCCCGATGTTGGGTTAGTTGATAAATTGATATTGATCAACCAAGGTCAAGGAGGCGAGTTCCGGATTGATGAGAATGGTGTTATGAGATTTGGTAATAGGGTGTGTGTTCTGGATGTTGCAGAGATTAGGAAGAGTATTTTGGAAGAAGGACATCGTAGTGGATTGAGTATTCATCCTGGTGCTACTAAAATGTACCATGATTTGAAGAAGTTGTTTTGGTGGCCGGGAATGAAAAAGGAAATTGCTGAGTTTGTGTATGCTTGTTTGGTTTGTCAGAAGTCGAAGATTGAGCATCAGAGACCGTCAGGATTGATGGAACCGTTGTTTGTTCCGGAATGGAAATGGGATGGAATCTCTATGGATTTTGTGTCTGGTTTGCCAAGGACATCGAAGAATTGTGATTCTATCTGGGTTATTGTTGATCGGTTGACGAAATCTTCTCACTTTATTCCGATAAGAATGGATTATCCGATGGAAAGGTTGGCAGAATTGTATGTTGAGAAGATTGTGAGTTTGCACGGTATTCCTTCTAGTATTGTGTCAGATCGAGATCTGAGGTTTACATCTAAATTCTCGACGGGATTTCAAGAAGCTTTGGGTACTAAGTTGCGTTTGAGTTCCGCTTATCATCCACAGACAGATGGTCAGACGGAGAGAACGATTCAGTCGTTGGAAGATTTGTTAAGAGCTTGTGTGTTGGAGAAAGGTGGAGCTTGGGATAGTTATCTACCATTGATTGAGTTTACCTACAACAATAGTTTTCATTCGAGCATTGGTATGGCTCCGTTTGAGGCATTGTATGGTAGGAGGTGTCGGACACCGTTGTGTTGGTATGAATCTGGAGAGAGTGCTGTGATTGGACCGGAAATTGTCCAACAGACTTCGGAAAAGATTAAGATGATTCAGGAGAAGATGAGGACTTCTCAGAGTCGTCAGAAAAGTTATCACGATAAGAGGAGGAAAGATCTTGAGTTTAGCGAAGGAGAACATGTTTTTATGCGAGTTACTCCGATGACTGGTATTGGTCGAGCTTTGAAGTCAAAGAAGTTGACTCCACGTTTTATTGGTCCGTTTCAGATTACCAAGAGAGTTGGGAAAGTTGCTTATCAGATTGCTTTGCCGCCGTCACTTGCAAATTTGCATGATGTTTTTCATGTATCTCAGCTAAGGAAGTACATTATTGATCCGTCTCATGAGATTCGGGTAGACGATATACAGGTACGAGAGAATTTGACTGTGGAAGCGGTACCTGCGAGAATTGAGGATCGAAAGTTGAAACAGTTGCGAGGCAAGGAGACCGCGTTGGTAAGAGTGGCTTGGGGAGGACCAGCAGATGGAAATGTCACTTGGGAGCTGGAGAGTCAGATGAAGGACTCGTATCCCGAACTGTTCGTCTAAGGTATGTTTTCGAGGACGAAAACTCTTTTAGTTGGGGAGAGTTGTGACACCCCAAATAATCCGATTATTAAATAATTAGAATTTTTAATTATTAATTT